AGCTCCAAAGACCCAGTATCCTATGCCCAGATCAAGCACTGAGCAAAATCACCTTGATCAGACTATAAGGAGAAAACCGAAGAAAAACTGACCTTTTAGACATTTGAGTTCCTCAAGTGTTGGCCAAGGATATGGAGAAATTGGAACTCTGTTCACTGTTGGTGGGATTGTAAGATGGTGGAATCTCTAAGGAAACCCAGCCTGGAGCTTTCTCAAAAAATGAAAAATAGAGTTACCATATGACCCATAAATCCCACTCCTGGATATATAGCCACAATAATTGAAAGCATGGTTTTGAAGAGATATTTGTATGCCCATGTCATTAGCAGCACTGTTCACAATAGCCAACAGTTTGAAGCAACCCAAATGTCCATCAACAGATGAATGGATAAACAAGGTCTGGTACATATATACAGTGGAAAAATTCTGCCTTAAAAGGAAGGAAATCTTGTCACATACTATAACATGGATGAACCTTGAGGACATTATGCTAAATGAAGCCAGCCAGCCACAAAAGGACAAATACTGTATGATTCCAATTATTTGAAGTACCTAGAATAATCACATTCATAGATATAGAAAGTAAGGGGAACCTGGGTGGCTCAGTCAGTTGAACTTCTGACTTTGGTTCAGGTCATGATCTGACAGGTTCGTGAGTTTGAGCCCCGCATCAGGCTCCCTGCTGTCAGCATGGACCTTGATTCAGATCATCTGTCCCCCTTTCTCTGCCCCTCCTCTGCCTGCCTCTCTCTCTCAAAAGTGAATAAACTTAAAAAAAAAAAAAAGCAAAATGGTGGTTATAGGGACTGGGTTGTGACAGGGAAGAGGAGTTGTTTAATCAGTATAGACTTTCATATTCACAAGATGGAAAAGTTCTGGAGATCTATTCCACAACAATGTGGATTAACACTAATGAACTGTACACTTAAAAATGATGAAGATGGTAAATTTCATGTTACATATTGTTTACCACAATAAAAAAAAAATATTTTTAAAGATGCAGATTTGGGTTCTTGCCTGACCCTGACCCTCTGACTTTATAAATTTGGAAAGTCACTTAACCTCTCAACTTCAGTTTCCTTACCTTACTTAGATTTTATAGTTACTCTAAGTTTAACTGGGCTAATGCACGTGAATGTTTTTCATAAACTGGATGGTGCTACAATGATGGAAACCATTTTTATCAGAGAGGTAAGAGAATCACCCTTGGAAAATAGCCTGTCACTAAACATTGCATCCCATGTAGGTAAACAATCACCCTAACGCTGAAGTGGGGCACCTACGAGAAGGGAGAACAGAACTAAACATTGAGCATACACCGAAGTGCAACCTCGAAGAGAGGGAACCCACTGTGGCTTGCTGAGTACCCTGCAGGATACATAGTTATGAGCAGGGTTGCAGGAAGAGTGCTGCACTTTCCAAGCAGACCTGTAAGGAAGCCTGGAAGTGGAACAGGCTGCCATTTGTGCAGAGAACAGCTGAGGTTGCAAACTCACGGACTGTATCACGTACACCTGGCATAGGAAGGACTCTTGATCAGGGACAGGCCTTACTGAACAGAGTAAGGCATACATAACACCATAAATTTTCCTTTCCATTTGATTTACGGTTTCTGCATGTCAGATGGCTGACTTGTTCTTGCTTCAAGATTTGTGTTTTTCAGATTGATGATTTACTTGACAATTCTCAATAGAAGTTTTGAGCATTGCAGTTTTAGTTTGGTTTTTTTTTTTTTTTTTTTTGGTTGGAAAGAACAGAGGTTCGCTCAAACATATTCACAAAATGGGGTGTACATTATTATGAAAACATAATGGAACAATAAAGGAGGCCTGTAACTCTAAAAATGGCCCTCATGAAAAGGTAAATTTGGATTAAGAGCCATCATTCTTCAATCTTCACTCTGCCATTGCCCATAAATATGACTTAGCTATATTCTATTTTCTGCTTCTTTCTACCCTTCTATATTTCTTAGTTCAGATTTGAAAGTTCATTTTTTCAAGCCAGGCCACAGAGTCGTGGGGCCGGGTACTCTTGGGTTAACTTTGAGCTGGTGCGTGGGTGGGGAAATGGAGTCAAGGGCAAGTAGCAAAATGCATAGCTATTTCAAAGGCAGGGACCCTGGGCAAAACAGTTTTCCTCAGAAAGGGTTATGATATATCAGGCAATAATTAATGTTGGGATCTTTGAGAGGATCCAGGATTCCTTCCCTCCTGGATTCTGAGCAAGCTGAGAGAAAAAAAAAAAAAAAA